AATATGAATCAAAATTTGAAATGTACTCACCCTTTGATTTAGCAATTTTCCTCCCAGGAATTTATCCTGCAGATGTTCTTATACATGAACAAAATGGCATTCATTCAAGGCATTCACTACAGCATTGTTCCTGCTAGCAAAAGATTGGAAACAGTCTAAAAGGCCTCTGCTAAAGAACTGGCTTAGGTAATTATGGTACCTCCATGTCATGGATTTGCTCACTGTCTTCATGCATCTTACAATTACAGCTGGATATCTTTATTTCCATGCTTTGATTCTGATCCTCAGGAAACTTGGCTTGGGGGCACTGCTTGTTATTGTGAGACAGAAAAAAATGATGCTTTAATTCCTAGTCCATAAAAGAGAGCTTAAAAAATGAACATAGAGCCACTGAAAAGATAAAGTTAGCTCTATGTGTTCTAAGAAGGATAATGTTCCAAGATGTTTACGTCTGGGGGAGAAAAAGGATATAAGCATAACGGTATGTACAGCATGCACAATTTGTGCTTAAAAATAAATTGTCTCCCCTGTTTGAGAAAATGCCTAAGAATTTTGGCATTGGACAGGACATCCAGCCCAAAAGAGACCTCACCCACTTTGTGAAATGGCCCCGCTATATCAGGTTGCAGCGGCAGAGAGCCATCCTCTATAAGCGGCTGAAAGTGCCCCCTGCAATTAACCAGTACATCCAGGCCCTGGACGGCCAAACAGCTACTCAGCTGCTTAAGCTGGCCCACAAGTATAGACCAGAGACAACGCAAGAGAAGAAGCAGAGGCTGCTGGCCCCGGGCTGAGAAGAAAGCAGCTGGCAAAGGGGACGTCCCCACTAAGAGACCACCTGTCCTTCGAGCAGGAGTTAACACCGTCACCACCTTGGTGGAGAACAAGAAAGCTCAGCTGGTGGTAACTGCACACGACGTGGATCCCATTGAGCTGGTTGTCTTCGTGCCTGCCCTGTGTCATAAAATGGGAGTCCCTTACTGCATTATCAAGGGGAAGGCAAGACTGGGACATCTAGTCCACAGGAAGACCTGCACCACTGTCGCCTGCATACACGTTAACTCGGAAGACAAAGGTGCTTTGACTAAGCTGGTGGAAGCTATCCGCACCAACTACAATGACAGATATGATGAGATCCGCCGTCACGGGGGAGGCAATGTCCTGGGTCCCAAGTCTGTGGCTCGCATGGCCAAGCTCGAAAAGGCAAAGGCTAAAGAACTTGCCACAAAACTGGGTTAAATGTACACTGTTGAGTTTTCTGTAAATAAAAATAATTAAAATAAATAAATAAAAATAAATTGTCTCAAAAAAAGATTTAAAAAAATTTAAATAAAAGTTGCAGTATTTGTATTTACATAGAAATATTTATGAAGGGAAACACAGGACACTGATAACAATGGTTGCCTCTAGGAAAGGAAACCCAGGCTCTATCGCCCAGGCTGGGGTGCAGTGGTGTGATCTTGGCTCGCTGCAACCTCCACCTCTTGGGTTCCAGAGGTTCTATTGCCTCAGCCTCCCAAGTAGCTGGGATTACAGGCATGTGCCACCACACCTGACTAATTTTTGCGTTTTTTAGGAGAGACAGGGTTTCACCATGTTGGCCAGGCTCATCTCGAACTTGTGACCTTAGGTGATCCACCCACCTTGGCCTCCCAAAGTGCTGGAATTACAGACTGAGCCACTGCCTGGCCAGGCATACTTTTCAATGCATACTCTCTCATACCTTTTGAATTTTGCACCATACATGTGGGTTTCTTATGAAAAAACATATATTTTAAAAGACCAAAATAACTTGGGAAGAAGAAGAGAGAGCTTTAGGAAGGAAAGTGAAAGGCTATTTCTGCCAAGCGGCACAGCTCTAAAGTATTTGAATAAATGCTTCACCGAGTGATGAGAGTCAAGAGAAAGGTAAAGAATTCCCACTCACATTTCTTCCACCATGAGGACTCTGTATGGATTTAAAATTAATTCAGTTTTGGAATAAGGAAATGATTGAATTTTCCAAAATTAAAGATGGAAAAAAGAAAAAAAAGGAGAAAGAGAAGAAGTAGGGGAGGAAAAGGGAAAAAATGCAATTGTTAGCAGCATGCAGGATGATGGAGGAGATCTGAGGTTTCCTGGGTATCCCAGGGAGTGAGCTGATCATTGCACTGGGTTGGAGAGATTGGCGTGAGGAGGAAGGAAAGAGTCAATACCATCTTAAAAGGAGAAATCAGACTTGTTGACTAATTGGACATGCTTGAGGACTAGGAATGAGCATATCGTGAGCAGGATGATTTTGCAGTGACAGCTTTCCAGGAAAAATTGCTGCATTCTCAACATCTGCATGTATCTGAGAATTACACCTGG